ATTCTGCTATAAATTAGTACAAAATTAAAAAAAAGTTTTATTTAAGTAGGTATCGTATTTAGTAAAATACCTATAATTTTTAGTTTTAAAGAATATTTTTTATTAAAACAAGCTTTCTTTACAATATTGAAATAATAATAGAATACTATTAAAAATAAAATAATAACAATTATATTATAATACTGTCAAGTTCACTTCCGTTTCCTACTTGTCTTGACATGGCGTCTTAGCAGTAAAGAGAGCGGAGTGCCGTCTATTAAAAATTATATCAATTTTAGTATGAATTATTTTTAAGAAGTTTTAAATAATTTGATTTAATTATTAAATCAATTAATTCAACTATGGATTAATGTATATTCACAAAAAATTCAGCTTACACCTATGTCGCTTATAGTATAAGTCTGTAAAACATTCACGATAACATGTATAATATTTACTTGTACCAATATTATAGTTTAACTGGTACAGCACTAGTTACACGTGCCGGTAATTAAAGAAAAGTATAGCAACAATGAACTTCATTGAAAAGAAAGGGATGCATAGTCCGAAAATATCCGAAGATGTCCGAATAAATTAACGCGAGTTGCTTGTGACAAATATAGGTTGAGTTCTGATTTAATTTTAATTAATGAATTTGGAAATTAAAATTCACTTATTTATGAAAAGTGATGTCTTTTTTTAAATTACACGTTTGGCTACTATTTCCGCACTATTTTATTGTACAGGGAACCATGTCTGTTGTATTTTATTTTGTCGAAAATTCACGAGTCACATGCAAGATGTTCACGGGTCAGGGAAGTGGTCGCTACTAAAGTAGACCTTTTTTTTGCGCCCGAAGCAAATATGGGCAACCCTCCTGAAAGCGGGGGAGGGAGGTGGAGAATGCTCATAGCATACCACGCAGCCGGCTGCGTGGTTATGTGGAGACTTTTACCCACTAAACCCCACCTTTACGGATTGGCTTACTGATCTGACGAGAGATCTCTAAGCCGTATACGAACGCGACCCTCCTTGGCAGAAAGGAGGGCGCAAAAAGTAGATCGCGCGAACTTCTTGAGACGTATTTGTCTGATGTGTTGACAGAAAGTGGTCGCCTTTCAAGAGGCGTCTATTCGGGCTGTGTAGTCGTTGACAACGGGCGACGCGCTACTCCCAAGTAGTTTCTTCCTGCGTCCCGTCGCCCGCGCCCCTTCTTGTGTCGTCTTGTGTACTATCGATATCGAAAGTGTTAGCGACTAAGGTAATGGAACCAATTATGGACAATTTTAGAAAATGTTTGCGGATAATATAACACTGCCAACCACTTTTAATGAAATTAAATATTTTGATATTAAAAAATAAAAGAATGATTTCTTGGATATTGTTTTAATAAAGAAAAATATAATATCGAGTTATATATGTTTAAAAAAAAGTTAAAAAGCACCCTAACATAAGGCAAATTAATTATGGATACCCGTTAATGGACAATCTCCATAATGAACACATAGAGACAACAAATAATAATAATAATAAAGGTAAGCTGTTTCTTTAAATCACTAGACAATGTTTGCCTTACTTACTTTGGAATGTTCAATACAAATGATAAGACTAGTAAGTATTAAACTTTGAGGAACAAAATTGGTACTAGCAGAAATAAAATGCACAAATTAGTACTACTTCACATTAGTAAGTACTCTTACAATATATCTTCATACCATCGAAATCAGTCAGTGGTGGATTAAACAAACAACAACAATAATTTTAGTAGTCATAGATATAAAACTTTAAAAGACGAAAACAATAAAATTACCAAACAATAAATAGCTTACTTAAGTTAGTTAAATTACACATAATAACCGACATAAGTATCTAATGAATAGTAGACGCACCTCCTAATAATCATTAAATCTTTATGTCTCGGGTATGTATCTCAAATCTACGTCATGTATATATCAGGTAAAAATTTATTCATCTCTGCAACTTTAAAGAATCCTCTATTATTTTGTTTTATAGGGGGTCTAATTATTTCAATAATGTCACTCAATTTATACTAGATTTTGTCTGCTCTGTCTGGCCATCTGAAAGTGTTCCCAGTCGATAGTACCATTGTACCAATTTCGTACATTCCTTCTTTCTTTGCGTTCAATTTTACCCGGGAAATATTCACCTACATATGTAACTATTACATAACAACCTATTTATAAATCTTTTATAGAAACTTTACTCCTAGAAGATGCCAGTGAACTTAAAGGCATATTTTCAAGATCCGATCCAGGGTGCGAAAGAGGTCTTTGGCCCTTTTTTTGTGGCCTTTTATGAAAAGCAAGTTTCAGTCTTCGTTTGTCAGTCACCATTTTATTTTCGCCTTCCGTATTCTCTACAATTGGATCACTATCTTTATTCCATTCGCTGTCACAACTTTCAGTGTCAGTGTCGTCTGACGATGAAGATTTGTGTACCTTTTTAATTTTTCCTTTTAACCTATTCTTATTTTTATTTTCTTCCAAGATTTTTTCTTTTAAAACTTTTTTTCTGCTCTCACCTCAGCTCTGTTTTCTTTTTCATCTTGTAGTCTACGTTTTTCTGCTTCTTTCTTTTCATGGTACACCTTCCAAGCCTTACTTGTAATCGCCGATGGTAACTTTTCTTTCTTTTTCTTGTTTTTCTTCTTGTCCTCAATTACGGGCCAAAAAAGACTTTTTTTAAAAGGACTTTTTTTAATCTTAATAATTTTTTAGTTGAATGGTTAAGGGCTATGATGGCTATCCGAGTACAGAACCAGAGTACAAAACTAATCCAACTGTAGAGATGTGTAAGACAGGGTGACGTAATATCCCCGAAATACTTTACCGCTGCATTGGAAAACGTTTTCAACCTACTGGACTGGAAAGGATACGGTATTAACGACAATGTTGTGTACGTCACTCACCTTCGATTTGCCTACAATATAGTCCTAATGGCACAATCGCTGGAGGACCTACGCACTATGTTCAATGATCTCAATAGTGTCTCCCAACGGATAGGTCTTAAGATGAACATGGACAAAACAAAAGTCATGTGTAATGTCCATGACACACCTATGCCTGTGGTTTTTGGGAGCACTTACCTGAAGTTGTTGATGAGTATTTTTACTGGGACAAATAGTCCGACTAGGTAGGTCCGTCGATTCAACTCGGCTGGGCAGCGTTCGGGAGATTACAACACATCTTCTCGTCAGGAATATCTCAAAACTAGATTGTACAACCAATGCATGTTGCCAGAGATGAAATACGGATCTGAGACGAGGTCTTTCACTGCTGGCCGTATGAGGAAGCTCGAAGTCGCTCAACGAACTATGAGGAGGGCTATACTCAGGGGTTCAAACTTAGGAATGAGGATATCTGCAGCAGAACCAGAGTGACTAACATCGCCTAATGGATTAGTTAGCTGAAGTGGCAATTTACCGGCCATATAGCTCGAAGAACCGAATACCGATGGGGAAAAAAGATTCTCGAGTGGCAGCCTCGTACTGGCAAGTGAAGTGTAGGAGGTTCCCCCACTAGATGGAGTCAAAACCTGGTAAGACATGCAGGAAGTTGATAGATGCAGGTAGCTTGGGACCGTGCTTTGTGGCATTCCTTGGAGGAGGCCTATGTTCAGCAGTGGATTTGTGAAGGGTTTTAATGATGATGAATGATAATGGTATTATATTAATATGATACATAAATAGAAAGGACGTTACGGGTAGAATCCATTCTATTTATTTAGGTATAGGTAGGGTATTGAATTAGTGATATAATTTGGTAGACTGTCTTTATCCCTAGTATTAAGTTCCGTAGACGTGCACTTCTGACGTCAGCGCCAAAATGGCGGAAATCAAATCGCTTCATCATATCACGGTGAATAGCCAGCCCAGCGTACTTGTATATATAGAGGTCAGTGGAATAGGTACAAACTGAATACATACCTACACGATGGATAATTTAAGTAAATTTTTCATTAGCGGGTAATTGAACCAGGTATTTGGTTTATTTAACCTGTGAATTCGAATTAAAGTGGCTAAGTGGAGACTAGCACAGTGGTAAAACAGTAGGTTAATTAAATAAGTATTTAGTATTATTTATGTTGTAAATTATAGGTACACATAATAGGAGGAGAGTGCTAACCTTTAAGAACACCACCTAACCTAGAGCGCCCCCATGTATTATGCTCTAAGCTAGGTACTGATACGATCGCAATCTGCGGGCCGCGCTAATTCGGCGTCGCGCGTATCGCCTCGTCAGCTAGATTTCAGGTATTAAAGTTTCACTGCTAGAACTTAATGAAATTATCGTTTCATTTAGCTCTACTAACATGATAGAGCGTGATTAAAGCTAATTAAACGTTTTTACGTTTAATTAGCTTGCTAAATGATATTTTTTTTCATCGGGATCGATTTTCTTTTTGTCCCATCATTAAAGGTATCGCGTTAGTACTATCATCTGTCTTCGTTTTCAGGATTGTTTTACAAACACCCGGTAGATGTCTAAGTTTTATTGTCCTAGTTTAATATTTTTTTGCAATCTAAATTTTCTTTGGTTTTTCGGGGTGCGAGACCTCTTGGGTCGCGAGACCGTAAAAGTGGTCACCCACACCTTGCGCCGTCTATGTATCTCAGACATGCGGGTTTTCTTCACCGCAGAACAGGTGTAAAAATACAGGTGTTAAACTTGTATTTAATAATTTCATTGGTACGAGTTGCTTGCACATACAGTGAAATATAAAGCAAGCACTTTGCGTCTGAGCTACCAGCGGTTCCACAAAACGCGTGCTTTAACTTCTTTCTAGTTTTTACAAACAAGATTGATTTTGATTTAAAATCAGTATTGACTACTGTAATAATCTAAATTTAAAAATAATAACAAATGTTTGCCAAGATTAAATTTATTTCAAATAAAAACTCGAGTGATACAACTATCGTGTAAGTAAGGCTAAGCATAATTTTACACTTTTTCAATTATTTCCCTTAACTATACTTTGAAAGCAACATTTTAAGTGGTATATTAAGAAGCAGTGGAATCAACTTCGGCAATATTTTTTTCTTTAGGATTTTCTACTGCTTTGTCATCACTTTCTTCACCATCTGCACTCTTTGATTTCTTATCGCTTTTGCGAAATTTATCGTACCTGTAAGATTGCATAAAAACGTTAATTATAAATCGATATAGAAATACCAATGAGGAAAGGAGGAGCGTGGAAGATCAAATATGTCAGGTAACGCAGAAAATTTGCAAAAAGTAATCCTAAATGAGACACTGAACAGTTTATTTTTTTGAAAATACGATTATTTATAAGTAAAATTATGAAAGTATCTACATTGAAAATCATAGAGCTACACGGGCAACCGGCGGACTGGAGGGGAGTAACCATATGTAGGCGCTCCCTTCTGTCAAACTAAAGTCCATGCAGTCTTATGCCTACAGTGAAAGTAGTTCGGATCAACTACCTAACTAGTTTGCACTAGATTTATCAGTGCGGCAGCACTGATAAATCTAGTTGTGAGGTCCTACAAATATTCCGAATTGTACAGTTTTTATACGTGGTAGAGCTATGCTGCAGTTATTTTAGTAGTATAGTTGTAGCACGAATGGGTCGGCTCAACTGGGTAGGACGACGCTCTCACAGAATACCAGCGTAAAATTGTAGCTTAGTGCTGCTGTGTTTCATATGGTGAGTGTAGAAAACCGGAGACTCGTTTTACTGGAATCGAGACATTCCACCTTAGTCTTCATCGGTGACAACGCTTCTGCATTTTGATTCGTAATCGAGAATAGATGTAGATCAGTGGCGAAGCTAGAGCTCCAAGCTAGGGCAAGCCCAAGATATAAATTGATAAAAATATAGATTGTTGTTTTTAGCAGTTTTATAAAAATACACCAATCTTGATCTGTCTCCACGCTTTAGTTTCATATTCAGTGCTGTCAAGGACGTGTTTAACAAAGCACACAGAAGGTATACCACTGCTAGATAGATTGTATTACATATCAGCAATTGCATAGCTTCGGTGGCTTTGAAGAAAGCCGTTTGGGTTTGTTTAAGCGAAAGAAAAAAATATTTACATCCAATACAATACATGAACAAAAGTAAAACACGAACAAAGTACAAACAAACTATGTACAAAATTAAAAAAAAAAGCAAATTATTTACATTCTAATGGATAAGAGATAAGTTGGAATCATCTCGCTTTCTTATGGAAAGATTTAATTACGTTCACGTAAAATGTTGGTGAAGGTTTTAATTGTACCAATAACTGTTTTTAATTGCGATAATTGATAAGTCTGAAATACACTCTTAACCTTATGTATTATCTCAACAAAGTTTAAAGATTTCCTCTCCGATTATCACTTTAACACACTTCAATTCATCACAAGGAACACTATTATCCTCCATTTTCATTAAAAATCTTTAAAAAAACATAAATTTTGAACTCGTAATATTAAATCGCTTAAGATAAGCACACAGAGTAAATAAACATTGAAACGTGAAATGAACTTGCAAACGTATTGCCCGCGCGCCTCCGCTTTTAACAAATTTATTCCCAAAAGCCTGGCATTAAATCTCTATACTAATTGCTATATATACAATCGTAGTTATATTTCATTATAGAATATTTTGCCATAGGTTAGAAAGAGAGCGGTCGTCCTCTCGAAAGCCCCGTAAAAAGCCCACGCGAGCGAGGGAGACAACTATTAGCTCTATTAAAACTCATTTTTTATGACAGCAGCAGTATCGCTAAGGCAATACGAGGTCATCGGTCGACATGTGTCGAACAGTGGAGTGCGCGGGAAATTTGAAATAGCTTGAAACATTTTACGAGTTATTTTATTAGTTGATATTATTGATTGATTCAGGTTTAATAAGGCAAGCCCGGCTTTTCGGCTTTAATGGAAGCTTCGCCACTAATGTAGATGTTTATGGGCCACAGCAACCACTTACCATCAGGTGGAGTGTGTGCTCGTTTGTCACCCTATCCTATAAAAAAGTTTTTATGCTGCGAAAGAGAGCCATTTTTGATTTGTTTACCAACCCAGACTGCTCATCTTCATGTTATATCCAGAACGGCCGAGCGATTGATCCGAGTCTGTGTCCCAGTTGTCACCGTGTTTTTTTTATAGTATAAGGGTGACCAACGAGCACACAGTCCACTTGATGGTAAGTGGATGCTGTGGCCCATAGACAATGGAATGCCTCATTTCCAGCAAAAAAGGTTCTTCAGATCTCTACACTGACCATACAAAACACAACAGTATTAAGCTGCTATTTTACGCTGCAAACGAGCTGCGACCCAAATGATCGAAACGATCAAATCTTTTTAACCCGATCACCATACAAGTGGGTCGCAATCGACCCGGGTTACGAGAAATGATCGATCGACACAGGTCTACAACTAATATCAAATGATTCAATTTGTTTTCACACAACGCCTACCCCTATATTATATAATAACCTTTTTTCTAGATGTTGCATATTAACCTTCCTCACATCGAACAGTAATGTTCTTATTATCAGCAAATTACTAGTACATTACAAGTAATATCGAAGGATTCAATTTGTTTTCTTATAGCTAAGTGATACAAACACGCGGACGTAATGTGCATTTTAATGCGGAATGATTAAACAATCGGTACGCTAATTTCACGAAGGTCGCTTCTGAGGCGTGCAAAGCTTCGATCAATAATATACTAGATTCCCGATGAGCGCTTCAAAAACGGCCAGAAAAATAAGACCACAAACACTTCTGTGGTCTTATTTCAAATTAGTATAGTCCAATCATAGCCAACGTTAAAACGTCGAAATGCCGCAGTGCGCGCGTTCAAAAACTGTACAAATAATCACCGTAACACTAAGAATTTGGAATGAATATCTTTTTTTCGGTAAGTTTATATCATTAAGTGTTTCTCATAAAATAAATACAGAATTCAATATCAAAAATTATTCAATTAGCTAATATTATGATTGGCCAATGTTTGCTACAACGCAACAACTATTGTAACAAACATCGACTGTTCTTGAACAAACATGCATGGAGTAGTATTATTATTTAATATATATTTTTTGTTTGTAAATTTCCTAGGGGCCCATTTCGCTATGCAGAATGAGTATCTATTGTCGCGAAAGAAAGAGGAGAAGTACTATATATACAACCCATCCAAAAATATAGAATTATGAGAATATATTCTATTTGTTTTCATAGATTGGACATAACGGGAAACACGCAAAGGCGTAGATTACTAAAAACAGCGGTTCCCAAATTGCCGGTATCTATCATAAAGTAGTAAAATTGAAAGTGTAAGATTGTGAAGGTAGTGTAGTGCTTTTGGTAAAAAGTAAGTTGTTTATGACTTTTTCAGATTCACGGACCAATAAAAGTGCAATCAGCTTTATGTTCAGAATAACGAAAGAGGTTATTATATCAGGTTATTAAAAAAATCTTTATCGGAAAAAAAACTATACCTGTAGGTATTTTCATGAAATACTTTAAAATTGTTTTCAATAAACTTTAACTTTTAAAGATATGACAGAAATACGTGACGTACCTCGGGCTGATGCAGTTTACTTGAAGTCTCCTGATGCATCATTATCAGATTTAAACATCGATATGTGACACTCCTAGAAAATGGTATTTAAAAAAGAAATTGACGACCTTTCAATGAATACCTACTACTTTTATAAATCGGTCAAAAATATTTGCTTGCCACCATACAAAACGACCCTTGCCCTAAAATATTTATATTCTGCAACTCTACGTCTTTCAATACTCACTGTGTTCCGCGCATTGAAATATAATACCAACAACTACGTCTACTACCAAATTAGGGTAAGCACGAAAATGTTAACATAATGTTTTAACCTTATTACTTAAGAGTTTAAGTTTCATTTTAGAATAAATATTTTTGTTACCTATGACTTTTTATTTTCAAGCGACATTCTAAACTTATTGCTTTTAACCTTTCTCTGATGAAAGGACTTGAATAAATATATTTTGCAATTGTGGATTAAACTATTTTTCTAAGATAGATAGATGTTTATGTGTGTGCAAAGGTGGCCACTTGTGCGACTTATTTTTGTTCCTGATCCATAATCTAGTATATAATTGATCGAAGGTGCAAAGTATTATGAACAAAAGCGTCGTAGTAACTAGGTTTAAACTCGCAAGTTTGCTATTAGATAGTAATCCTTCTGTTCTTGTACTATTATTTACTCTGTAGTATTACTAAATCTATTGAACTCATAATTTTTTTCCATAAATTAATTTAAAATATTGATATGAGTTGGTGGAATATTTTAAATACCCACAAAATCCATGTTCTATTTTTATAAGGGAAAGCAGCAGTGGTGATAATGATGACTACTCAGTTATGCAGAGATGAGCGAAATTTAAATGCTAGATTAGATTAGATTCTTCAGATTAATACTTTTTAGTTCAAGGTTCTTTTTTTGTAAATTATTATTATTTCAAAAATATTTGTTTTGCTCATCCTACAATATGGCGACAGGTCAGTTCTATTCTTATTTGAATTAGTACAGAACTAGATGATGAAACCTATCTAACTACAGATAAGTGTAAGACTAGGCGATATATCTACTCTTCATCGCTGCAATAAAAATTGTAAGCTACTGGACTGGAAAAGATATTGTATCAAAGTTACTAGGGTTCTTCAATTTATCACTCATAATTATGTATAATAAACTTCCACTCCTTTAGCAATCAATCTTTTCAATGAAGTATTCCTTTCTTAATACTGGTCATCACAGCAAAACAGGCGCCTGCAGTTTCCAGGATTTGAGCTATTGGTGAAACTCTTCATTTAAATAATATATGATACTGAACAATTTTATGACCGTTACAGACATTGTTTTGCTCCAGGGTTTAGCATTCTCTTTATTTTTATATTTTTTAATCAATTATAATTTAAGTACAAACCTTCCAAGGTCCTCGTCATCATCACTTCCTTCATTGCCTTGTGGATCCACTTCCCTTAACAACTCCCCTATGTCTTTGTCAACATCAGCCCAAAGTTTATCTTCACTGCCTGTAATATCAAATGAATTGAATAATTATTACGTATGCAATAATTAATATAAAGTTTAATTGAGGAAAATGTAGTTGTCCCTGGGTCACGTCATCCACTTACCATCACGTGGACTGCATGCTTGTTTGTCACAGACCTTTTAACACTTTATAAAAAATAATAATAATTTAATGCTTACCAGAAGCATTAGCGACATCTGTACCATTTTCTAGATTTTTCTTGTCATTAACAGGTTCAGGTTTCTCAGTCTTTGATTTATCTTCTGAATTTTCTTCACCAGCATCTGTTTTTTCATTTTCTGCAAATTTATCACATTGTAAAGAGAAAGAAATGTGTAAATTTGGATTCTTAACATTTATCTCCATAATGGATTTACGGAAATAATATGCACATGTATAAATATTATTATATTTTTACAGAGTTCTTGGTGAAATGTCTAAAATTCTGTTTGGTATTTGTTCATAATAGACATTAACATTCAATAGTCTGATAATATTAAACTAGCTCATCCCTAGTTAAATTAAAAAAAAACATTATACAAATCCTGGTGAATAGATTTAAGATATTCTATTACTATGTAATTGTATAAATACGGATCACTAAGTTGAATAGGACAGCCTCTGAGATAGTGACGATCTAGTAAGAGGTACATTTCATCACGCGTACCGATACATTCCGATCGATCATTCAAATTAATCATTTCGGGCTCCAGTACCCCACACTAAAAACAATTCATTCAAATAATTCGTGATTCGGTTGGTTTTGACTCATTTACAATAACATACCAATCACGAGTTCCGTCAATTGTTTGTGATTGGTTATAGCAGTACATTCAAAAACCAATGAATGAACCATCAATACTTTTAACTGTACCAGCTCAAACGAACGAATCATTCATGATTGAATGAACGCACATGTCTAGCCGGAGCCCTATGTTTAGCAATTCAATGAATCCAAAAGAGCTTTAAACTATTGCCTATGTCCACAGTAGTGACAATCTGTAATGATGATGAGATTCGACAACAATGATCGGCGTCTTTTTTGCAACCAAGAAGGCGCTACTTTGGAATGAGGTGAAATAATAGTTAAATTGTTAGGAAAATATAAAGTTGAGTGTTTCTTTCTGAAGTATTAGGTTATTTTAATTAGATTAAAATGGATAATCAAATTACGAATACGCACAAAATTAAAAGCAACTACTGAGGCATTGTTTTTATATTTTATACCGACCTTCACCAGTCAGTCCCTACCGGTGTCTGAATGAGTGGTAAATTATTTTTAATAGAACTAAGATATACATTAAGGACGCGTTTGCAAATCAACCAAAAATTAGGGTGTTTTTCGGTAGATTTTGTGACAAAACTAAACCAAATCAAATATAAGTAAAAACTACCATGTATAGATTGGTTCTTCATCTGCAAATGTCTGTAACTCTTTTGTTGAAAACAGTAGTTTTTTATATTGTAAAAACGAACTTTCGTTGCCATTTTCTACAAAATTAACGATACCGGCTTGTGTTTCGGTAAATGTTTTGGTCTATTATCAACATATTTAAAAAATTTAAAAAAATACTATAAGATGACAGACATATTCAATTAAAAAACCCTGGGTTTATTTTTTAACAAAATGTCACTAATAGTCGTAAAAAAAATAAAAACTGATGCACATTTTTTCGCATATTTTGGTAATATGGATGAATCATAATGTATTGCAATAAGGGCTATTTTATTGTTGGTGCCTTCTTTGATTTATTGTACAAAGATTTCGATAAAACCACAGTCCGCGCTCGGCCACCATCGTGAGTGGACACTGTATCGCCTGTTTGCAGCGGCTCATTCTGAAAAGATCGCTGTACATACACAAAATATTAGAAAAAAACAAATTGGAAACATAGGTACTTGACAAGTGATAAAATTATTATTTTTATACTCACAGTTTTTATTTAGCTAAAAATAAGTAGGATATATAAACTTACCTACTACTGCAACTCGTGGACGAGCGGAACTAGGTGTGCCGAGTTTGGGCTCGTTTTGTTGGTTATGATGAGACCTTACCTCTGGACTTGATGGCATGACCTGAAGGTGTACTTTCGTGACCGCTATTTGAACTTCTTGCAGAGTAAAACTAGGGGTGACGAATTTGGGCTCCGTTTTGTTAGTTATGACGAGTCTATACCTCTGGACTTGATGGAGTGACCTGAAGGTCTAAATCGGTGATTGCAACTGGAACTCCTAGACTGGTAGAACTAGGTGTGCCGAGTTTGGGTTCGTTTTGTTAGTTACGATGAGACCTTACCACCGGACTTGATAGAGTGACCTGAAGGGGTAATTCAGTAACTACTGCTGGAATTTCTGAACGAGTAGAACTAGGTGTGCCGAATTTGGGCTTCGTTTTGTTAGTTATGACGAGTCCATAACTCCGGACTTGATGGAGTGACCTGAAGGTGTAGTTCAGTGATTACAAGTGGAACTCCTAGACTTGTAGAACTAGGTGTGCCGAGTTTGGGTTCGTTTTGTTAGTTACGATGAGACCTTACCACCGGACTTGATTGAGTGACCTGAAGGTGTAATCAGGTGGTTACAAATGGAATTCCTAGACTAGTAGAACTAGGTGTGACGAGTTTGGTTTCGTTTTGTTAGTTACGATAAGACCTTACCACCGGACTTGATGGAGTGAAATTCGGCACACCTAGTTCTACTGGTTCAGAAATTCCAGCAGTAGTTACTGAATTACCCCTTCAGGTCACTCCATCAAGTCTGGTGGTAAGGTCTCATCATAACTAACAAAACGAACCCAAACTCGGCACACCTAGTCCTACAAGTCTAGAAGTTCCACTTGTAATCACCGAACTATACCTTCAGGTCACTCCATCATGTCCGGTGGTAAGGTCTCATCATAACATACAAAACGAACCCAAACTCGGCACACCTAGTTCCACCAGTCTAGTAGTTCCAGTTGCAATCACCGATTTACACCTTCAGGTCACTCCATCAAGTCCGGAGGTATGGACTCGTCATAACTAACAAAACGGAGCCCAAATTCGGCACACCTAGTTCTACTCGTTCAGAAATTCCAGCAGTAGTTACTGAATTACCCCTTCAGGTCACTCCATCAAGTCTGGTGGTAAGGTCTCATCATAACTAACAAAACGAACCCAAACTCGGCACACCTAGTTCTACTAGTCTAGGAGTTCCACTTGTAATCACCGAATTACACCTTCAGGTCACTCCATCAAGTCCGGTGGTAAGGTCTCATCATAACCAACAAAACGAACCCAAACTCGGCACACCTAGTTCCACTAGTCTAGGAGTTCCTATTGTTGTAATCACCAAATTACACCTTCAGGTCACTCCATCAAGTCCGCAGGTAGGTAAGGTCTTATTATAACTGACAAAACCAGTTCAAAGTCCAGAGCTAACATCTCACTACCAGTAGAGGGCTTCCAGTGCCAAGCAGTCTTTGGAGCAGGTATTCATATTTCGTATCGAAGTATATTTCTGAGGTAGGTATAAGAAATGAAAAACAAATTCAATCTTTCAAATTATCAAAATAATTTCATTTGACTACGATTCCCACAGCCAACCGTGCGTACACTAGTGTGTGTGTGACTTTTGTCAATGTAGTAGTGCGATTCTATACCTATCCATTTTGTAAACGCGTCCTTAAATACATGGACTAGAAAAAAAAGGACTACCATGTCACGCACGTCTCAAGCTTTCAAGTGAAGTACTGTATCGCGATCTATACGTGTGTGACAATCAACCATTTATAATATAACCTTAATTTTATATATATTTTATATATATTATATATAGCATAATTTTTAAACCATTCCCTATCACAAGATGGCACTATTTTGTAAACAGTAGGTATAAAAGACGCTTTTGTACCACATAATGGCGGCGTCCGGCTTGCTGTAATGTAAATATCTGCGTGAGGCAAGTTTGTACATACGTGGTAGAGCCATGCTACAGCTATATTATGGTAGTAGTAGGCTCGACCACGCTCGGGAAGGTCTGCACTCTCGCAGAATATCAGCTTAAAGCGGCTTTGTTGTTTTGTCGCGGTGCTGCACGTAGCGGCCCAGGTGCACGCGCAGGCGGCAGTGATCAGAGGTACCTTTGTGCTGGTGCAGCTGGCGGTGTATGCGCTCGGCGTGGCGGCGCAGCGTGCGCGTGTCGCGGTGCTGCACGTAGCGGCCCAGGTGCACGCGCAGGCGGCAGTGATCAGAGGTACCTTTGTTCTGGTGCAGCTGTCGGTGTATGCGCTTGGCGTGGCGGCGCAGCGTGCGCGTGTCGCGGTGCTGCACGTAGCGGCCCACGAGCACGCGCAGGCGGCAGTGATCAGAGGTACCTTTGTTCTGGTGCAGCTGGCGGTGTATGCGCTCGGCGTGGCGGCGCAGCGTGCGCGTGTCGCGGTGCTGCACGTAGCGGCCCAGGTGCACGCGTAGGCGGCAGTGCCGGCGCAACGCCTCCGCCTCCTCGGCGCCGCCAGCCTCCGCGCGCGGCAGGTACACGCGGCACAGCTCGCACCACCACACCTATTTGACGCATACACAATATATTTAAGCGCCTCTATCACTAAATATGACTATATACCATGTATGTACTATGACTATATATATATATATATATATATATATATATATATATATATATATATATATATATATATATAACATAACGAACGCAAAGACTAACGTGTCGTTAACGTTTGTTTTGACTGTACAGATTTAGTGTGACTGTAATTTACGTAGTTTTAATTATCTTTGGGATAAAAAATTACCTATATTAAAAATGATAGAAATGTTACATGTTGTATATGACACTCAACAATTGATATTTCTTGAATTAGTGTATACCCGGAAAAAAATATGCGCATACGTGAAATCCTCATCACGACTTGAATTTTTTTAGCATATGTAGTATATATATATATATATATATATATATATATATATATATATATATATATATATATATATATATATATATATATAATGTATGTAGTCGATTGATTTTTTCAACTCCACCGACGCACGGTCTTATCCACTGTGCTACCATCTTATAATTTATTTAAATTATCTTAATAATTTTTGACTGATAATGTTGACCCAATAGATAAATTATAGCATTATATAATTTGAATTCGTTACTTCTTGGAGTATCTTAAAATTTTGTGTAGTTTGCATTTAATGTTAGTTTTTAGTATTTAAAGATGTACAAATAAGATCCTAGTTTGGCTTTAAAACTTTGATTTCTTTAAAATATTGTCATACAATTTCTAATGAAATTTTTGTTTTGACAAATCTTAGTTAATTTTTAATTGACTAGTGTCAAATGCCCAAATAACCCACTTTTGGACAATAATGATGTAAAAAACGCGATAATTTTTGTAGGTTAAAAACTATATTGAATATTATTTTCAAGACTACACACCTCCACTTTTTTAATATGTTCACTTCCAATGTTTATTTCAACTTTTGGCTTCTTGGGAGAAGCATCATCCTTCTTTTCACCACTGGAATCATCATCTTCAACTTCTAAAACCAAAATGTATTGTATTAAAATACACATGAAACACATACACATAATAGAAACATATTTTACTGTACCTACCATCAACATCCCCCACAGAGTCCAGAGTCATAAAGTTGTCTAAATCAACATCCATGCCCTCATCACCACTAGCTTCAGCCTTAGGGCTAGTTCGACGTGCCGTTTGATTAGCTTTTCTCTGTAAACAGTTTTTAAATGAATAATAAGTAAAAACTAAATACTAAGCATAAAGCAAATAAATCAAAAACTTATAGTAAAGTTTATATATTCATTTAAATACCTTCAAATGGTCGAGTGAGCAAATATGATGTTCATATATCATCGGCGATCGGAACTTAATGCGGCAGATGCGACAGAAGGGCATCAGGAAGCGCTTCATGGCACGGTGCGTGTCGGTGAGGTTGTGCGCGTGGCTGGTGGTTCGGTGGTTGAGGCGGCACACCATGCAGAAGGTGGTGCGCGGCGCCAGCTCGGCGCCGGCCGTGGCCTCCAGCTCGCGCTGTGCGCCGCGCTGCGCCACGCGCATGCGCAGCAGCTGCGCCTTGTGCCGCCGCGCCACCGCGCTCATTGCCGCACGGTGCTTGCCCGACAGCAAATGCTTCGCGTAGCCCTGTCCCGACCACATTCAGTTATTTAACATATTATATAACCCAAAATCAGTCAGTATACAACATCAGTAATTATTCTTATATTTTTGAATATTAACTTTAAAGACATTGAATCAAAATTTAAAAAAGTAAACAATATTTTACATATTTACTCCAAATTTGAAATAGTTGTAACTATCTTTTAATTTGGTCTTCAAGTATGTAGTAAATTGTTCTTACAGCAAAAGTAGAACATTTTTCCTTGCAATGCACACAGGCTAAATGCACATAGGGACGTGAAGTTGGTGTTTCTCCATCTGAGGCAGCATCAGGCTCTTTGTCAGTGTCTTCACCACCTTCAGCAACTTCTCCTTCTGATGCTTCAGCTTCAACCTAATCATAAAAATAAGGTAGTACCAAAATTTTCAAAGATGTAATACATATTATATTAAATTAGATTGCTTAGTGCGATTGCCAAGTCAATCTATATATTTAAAACACATAAGGTTTTAAACATTGATATGATACGGTAGAAGAACTGAGTTGCGAGACTTGGTTTTTTTACAAGTAATGTTTTTGATGGCATCTCATTTCTTTTTGTAGATAAGATAGTCCTACTTTTTTCCTTTCCGGTACCTTCTACTTCTTGAACACCGTACAACGTACCTACCTGTACCTATTATACATATACAATTAACATATACAAGTACACTGATTCATTCACTGCAAATGTATCTTTGTAATTCTATATATTTATATGGGATTACAAAGTTATTTATGCGGTTGGTGTATCTAGAAAACTGGATCGAAATTGAAAAATATTTAAGTTTTTCCTTGATTTGTACACTAAACACTACTGGTATTCTAAATTTAAAGCTCCTATGTCTTCTAGAAGTGCCTTAGAGTTTTAGTTTTTGTCAGTGAGTGACAAAATTAAGAAATTTTGACCAGTTATACTTCCTTAAACTACTGGTTCAAATTGAATGAAATTTAAAGTATACCACGTTTATACAATGTCTACTTGGTTACTGAAAATTTAGTCTTCTAGTTTTATCCACTACGAAATTATAGGCGGTCGAAAATGGCCTGAATTGCTTCGAGAAAAGTATGGTACGGCCGTGCCGCTTTTTTGCTCGACTTGGCGGGGGCACTGCCGTGCCCCCAGATCTTCACATTATTTACTTTCACTTCTGACAGGCCTGTCACTCACAATCGCGAGACGGTCCGGGCTGAATACGCAGTCGGAACTAGCGAGTTGTAGGCGATTGAATGTAATTTTTTTTAAAGCAGTTTACATAAATAGTTTTTTGTAAATACTTGTTGAAATGGTTTACGTTTAGTGCTTAGTATATTTAATTGTAGGATAAAATATTTGAAAAATGTGATGACCTTTTTTACTGTCTAGAAGTTTTGAATTTAGATAGATTTTAATTTTTATATAATTTATTTAATTCAAAATTTTTTGTTTTTATTTTGAATGTCAGTACAATAGGCGTCTACTCCGTTCACACGTTACGTCATATTTTTTCCAGACGGTAAAAAAGGTTATCAGTATATTACCTATTTCATAAATTATACTAGCAAAACGTCGTTCCTACTATTGTTGCGTACGTATAGCCGTGAATCGATTTAGCAGAAAACCGATTCAGATCGGGCATCCCTGCTATTATTACGTCGGCAAGCAGTCAACACCAAAAGAGTTAAATTCTATATATATACATAGTACCATTATTATTTATTCTGTACTTCTGATAACACATGATAAGTATTACAATTAATATAAATTACTTTTTTAATGAAATAGTTTTTACCTTTGGAGATTTAACTTTTGTCTCTTTTTTCTCTTCAACTGCTTCTTCCTTTTCATCAGCATCCCAGTCTTCTTCAGTAGAGGATGCTTCTTCTTTTGATTTAATAGAGCTATAAGACATTCAAATTTTCAAGTAATGTTTTCATAAATTCTAAGATGAATTGAAATATAACGAAAACTTTACAGAATTTTGAATTGATATTTTGATTTATTTATCAATCAAAACTCTGAAAATAGAGATAATCTACAAACATACAGATTACGCCATCAAGTAGCAGCTTATTGCTGTGTTCTTCTTTGAAGGGTAAGAGAGCCAATCAAACGGTTAGAGTTAAGACCGGTGAGGCTGTGAGACATTTTATCTTTGTTCTCGGAACTTTGGAAGTTAATTTTAGATGTCTGATGGGGTGCAGAGGCTATTCGCCATCATGTGGACCGTTAGTGATATACTATTATAAAAAAAAACATTAAAACACGAAAGAACAATACTATGAAATCGATATCTATCACAAAATCTTAGTAAACTGTGCATAATAGATTAATGACGTCATGGGGGGCACCCATCAGACACTTTCGACGCATTCTTCCAAGCACTAGGCACTAATCATAAACTCTCAACATTTTTGAGAGGTTCTTACTGCTCAGGTCCATAGTGATAAGTAGAATTATACCGCCAGAATGAAAGTGGGATCCACGTACCCACTCGGTCGGCGTTCAAACAAGATCTAACCATCACACTCATACTGCTCGCTCATCATCATTATCATCCAAAATGATTTTGCTTTAAACTTTTTCCGATGAAACTAGCCTCCCCTGGCACAAAGTAAAATTTTGACCAAAATTTTACAACTACATTTAATAATTTAATGTTCATTCAACTTTTTAACCAGTCCACTACTGAACTTAATCTTTCCTTAGGGAGATTTGTCTTAATCGCCACGCTAAATATTGTCAGTTGCAGTGCAAGATACTTCGACAGTGATAGTTGATATTTAGTGAGTCTTCTTCATTTTCGCTTCTTTTGTGCATTATTGGGATACATGGGATTTAAAATCTCCATATTTGAATTTTTTTACTGCTATCCATCAGAAATTAATTGCCAGTCATTTCAATTACACCTGGAGAACAAAACATGATTATAGATTTGGCTATAGTGACCCACCATATGGCTATAATAATATAGTCACATAATGCAACAATTCATTGTTGTTAACTAGATGCTATAGAGTATATCACTCATATTTTGAGGCTTATTATATATCTTAATGGTATGTTTTCAAGTTATCTAAAGAAACTGAAGATATTTCTACAGAATAGTCAATACCTTTAAGCTACCAGCATTATTAAATTCTTTTTAGAACTTCTTTGTCATTTTTCCTCGTCCACCTTTTCACATCAATTATTATTTTTGAAATGAAACATTACATTCTTATACAAATTATATTTTATGATCAACTTCTGTTAATAAACTGTCATAGGGTTTTAATAACATCTGAAGTAGGAATGTAAGTACTCGTAAGTGTTACTTCCGCCAATATCAAATAATTTACCAGTACAGAGGTATTTTTACATTAATTTTGTATCTTTTAATGTAATACATATCACCAACTGTTTAAAATTTTTATCAGGTTTGAATCAAGAATATTATGTTAATGCCTTAATAAATATCAAATTGGATATGTCTCTCCCAATTCATAATTGTGAAATAATGAACCCTATTTTCATTACCCAACTGCGGCGCAGTCGAAATAGAGGGTAATGTCTTTATACACAATAGATTTGCAGTATTAGCAGTTTAATGACTGTAGAAATAAATAGTTGTAAGTGGGAACTCTCGTCATCGTAAGTTAATGGACTTTTATATGATTGTGACTGTTATTTCAATTCAACCCTTATCTTTTTATCTCTAACTTCCTCTTTTCCACACAAAAAATCAGAAGTTTTAAATTTACAGGTTACTCTCTACTTGTTCAATAATAAAATCAAAATATTCAGGTCTCTAGTGGTGGTATACGGGGTGTGGTGTCCTCAGTTCATCCAACGTGTGAACTAAGCATAAACTTTATTCAAGTGACGGAATTACCTTCGGCCCTTGATAGATCTGAACGCACGGGTGTAAGGGAGCGAGCGTTCGCCGAAGCGCCTAGAGGTAAAGGAGCCTCGCGAGCGCGGCGCGCCGCGGAACGAGGCGCGCGAGCGGAGCGTGCGGCCGCGGAACGAGCGGCGCGGCGCGCGCGGCCGCACCGTCACGCGCGACGGCTCGCGCGGCGGACCCATGCCGCTCGCCTTGCGGTAGCTATCTCGGTTAGGCGATCGTCTTCTATCCTCTCCGCCGAACGACCGTCTCTCGCCGCCATAGCTCTCTTGTCTACCGCTGTACGATCCGCCATAATGGCCGCCGCCGTCATGGCTACGTCTATCGCTCGAAGACCCCTGTACATAACTCTCTCTGGTAGAGGAATCGATCCATGCTTACAAACCAAAGTGCACAAAAAGTACATTTAAAAAACACAAGTTTAATTCTTCTCTAATATTAGCGAAACTTAATTACATATCAGAATTTCCACCAGTCCAACTTTCAAGTTTCTGATGTTTGCAAGATTCTTTTCTTAGAATTTATAACACCATATTATAGTAATGCATAAAAAGTTACTATATGTTAAGATTTGCATGATTCCGCTTTGAAATATTTACAATTTGTCAACAGGAAGTATTCAATATATAGGACAACTCATCATAATTTAACCATTGTGAGAAATAGACTTATGCTTGTGTAGTAAACTGTAAATAAGTATCGATTCTTAAACTATCATTATCATTGGAATATTCTCATTAGGAAGCTTAAGAGTATTTTTCCCTTATTTTAAGCATCACATAATAGTAAATGAACTGACAATTTCGCATTATGTCGTATTTTCATATATTCCAGGTACTTGACAAATAAGGGCATGTAAATAACTGTGATCATACCACATTATTCAGTGTACTAATAGATAACAAATCGTAGTGTCCATCATACAATAATATTGCACATATAATTCCTTTTATTATATAGCTTTATCGCAAGTAATAAAGTCCATTGTGTAACAAAAATATCTTGTTAAAATCCATATTTATCATGTTCATTTCCAATTGCTGACAATGAATGTCTTTCATTTTCTAAAGAGGTGACAATTGAGTTCCTTCCATCTTTTTTCTCTCACTGCTTTTAATTCAAGCATTTCACAACTTCCACAAATTCAGTATATTTTTTATTAAACCATTTGCATAAAGTACCTACCTCTATTCTCATTCTTTTTCTTTCTGGTGAACCTGAGCGACCATAATCACGTGTTGAATAACTTGCAGTCTCCTTAAAAATGTTATATTTAATTAACTTCAATGATAGCTTTTATATAGTAAGTATAAAAGTACTTAACCCTTACGCCCTATCCCAGCGTCCAAGAGACCCATGATTTAATTAATGTAACCATGAAACAAATATGTAACCCAAATGTTTTATACTCCGTTTATCTTATCAATCTATCAAAGGCTTCTCTTTTCAACATTTCCATACAAATAAAAGTGTCATAAGAGAGAACTACAAGTTTAGGTACTACAACAATGGTAGACACTGTGGACCTAATGCCAGAGAGATTTCAATCCCAGTCAAGCATTACGCTAAGCGAAGATAAAAATATGTATATGGTGTAAAAGCAACAAATTCAGCTTAAAATTGGAGTAAACCACTTGAGATGGACAGTAAAGAATTCCAAGGAAACCTCTTGACTCTTGACATTAATCTTAACAAAAATGTATTATACTGCATTGGAATATCCAGTGCAAGACTACTATGCAAATAGATATAGCAACACTGTCTCTTTTACTAGTGCTGTTGTAATAAAGCAAAATATATGTGGAAGTTTTATATATATTTTCACAACAGTCAATGTCTCATAATTCATGAGTTTGAAAGGATAAATCATTTAATGTTTGTTAATTTGTTATTCACTATACTCAACTGTTTACTGACTTTAATTTAATTATTTTATTTATATTAAGTGACTACCGCCACCTAAAAAATTACAAAACGTAAACTGTCATTAAAAACATGGTTTTGTTTCCAATAAATTAATTTAAATGTATTGGAGTCCACGAAACCCCAGGGTAATTTGTTTATCAAAGGATGGAGTTTAACTCATCCTACAATAAGGGTTAAGACCGTCAATATTATAATAATAAATACTTACTGATCTATATGACTTTTTATAGGAGTCATCAATTCTATCACGACTTGTAGAATATCTATTTGAATTGCTACTATTATAACGAGATTCATTGTTATAAGAGTAGCCACCACCTCTCCCTCCACGTCCACTATCATATGAGCCACGACTGCTGCTGCCCCGATAAGATCCCCTATAGCCACTACCTCGATTATTATAGTTACCTCTCCCACTGTAACCACCATATATTCTCCCACGTGACGACATATTTACTGCAAAAAAAAGAATTATTGTCTTGAGTGATGCAACAAATTTTTTAGTGTTTACTTTATATAAAATAAAAAAATACACTTTTTTATTCTGCTTGTCATAGTTGCCATGCTTGGCAATCAGGTAGACAAATGCAGTTTTTTTAATTTTTAGTTGATAACTAAAAAGAAGCTGCTGCCCATGTCCTGGTTTGTTTTCCTCTGTCCCCTCTTGCTACACTTGGTATTCTTACACCACCTCTTCATGATCATTTGTGACAGCGGTAATGATTTTATATATGCAAGTTTTTTATAATTGATACTGTTTTATGTAGATAGCGGTAGTAAAACTTACAGAAACAGAAACTTTTTTATTCAATATGGATTATAAATAATACTTATTGAAAGTCACTTTTTTTCATTTAGCAGTGGTTCACAAAAAGCTCCGTCCTGGGAAGATCCAGCAAGAAACCCAGCGGAACTACTTTCTTTTAAATAATAGCTTACAAACATATATGTTACAATTATATATAAATATTACTATATATAATTGTAACATAATTGTAAAATAATAATATTAAATTATATATAAAACACAAAACAAATTAGAAATAGCTTGGTAGCGATCACCCTTCCTTATAATTTGCACTGACAGTGTCATTCTAAACACTAAAGATAGTTAATATATCTTTTAACTGTTAAAATAAACAGTTAAAAAAATTCACTAATTTATGAAATAAATAATATTAACCATAATTAATAAAATTATCAAGTCCATTCAAAACAATCGATTGATTTCTAACTGATTTAATATTATATAGATGGCAGAAACAAGCCAAAAGCCATGTTTGTGCCATCTAGCATATTCTTTAGGATAGTAGAATAGACTAACTTGAGAGTCAATCAATCTCGTTAGCTAAAGAGAAAATCAATTTTCGTTAGATAAAATGACTTCACCTATAGAACGAAGTAGATGATTACAATTTTATATACGAAAGGAAATATTCTTTAAAAACATCAATACATGTATTCTTTTGTATTATTACATTAAAATTTAGGCTTCATATTAAAAATAAGGATTGTAACAGTTATTTGCTATAAAATTAATCTTATATCTCACATTTCATGCCGTGCTTGTAATTTGCCTTTTAACATTTGCCATTAAACATTTTGAAATGTTATTTTTATTAAACAGTACAAAATTGTATTTTAACACATAGGGATAAGGGTATTGGCTGAAATATTGGTTGGTATTAATTTAAACGAAGCGCATCAGTTTAATAATATTTATTTAGATACTCACCAAAAAAGAAAGAATATATAAAAAGTTGTAGAAATAAATACTAGAGAATTTAATTAAGATTTAGTGAAATTACTTTTTATATTATATAGTATTATTTAGTGTACATAAATATAAAAATAAAAGGTTTTAGTTAGTTTAATTTTCACCTTTTATCATGCCGAGATGTCACATACAGCTGTGGGACCATTTAGAAAAATGTGTCGGGAGGCGAAAAATTGGCATTATGTAAAACAAACTTTATCATATAAAGGCTCAACCAGCATTCTAAAAACACACTTGAAGTTAAACAGGGTGTATTCAAATTTAATGCATGGAACAGTTGGTGAAAGTGGTTACAGTAAAGGAATTCCGAGAACTGTTGTTACCGATGATAGTAGAAATGTTGTTGGGGATGGTAGTGTGCCTGGTGGTAGTGGCGTATGTGTAAATACTAGGGAAGGTGGTGCTAATATCGGTGTTGCTGGTGTGGATATTTCGTCAGCTAATGAGTCGGCGAATAAGGTTCAACGCATGTCATCTTACCTACCCAAGAAATTTCAACCAGGAGATAAAAAAATAATTGATATGTCTCATAAAATTAATAGCCTACAACTGTCAACCATTTTTAATTGTAGATGACCTTGGATTTAGAGAACTTGTACATGCTTTAAATCCATCATACGAACTACCAAGCAGGAAGACAATTTTTTCTTTGATGTTGCCAGCGTTTTAGGAAGAATGAAGGCAATATTTTAAAAATTTCGTTAAAGTAAACATGGAAAATTTATGCTTAACAGTTGACTGCTGATCATCCAGAACTTTGTGTTGTGTGTGTGTTGCAACTCCCAAATACTGGTCGTATTTGGGAGTTGCAGCACATTTCTTTTCTAATGAGTTAGAAATTAAATCTGTTTTATTGCAATGCAATCTCCTTGACGGGAACCATACAGGAGCCAGGATTGCTCAAGAGTTAGAGGCAATAGGAGAAGCGTGAGGAATATCTGAAAAATATTTTTATTGTATCAGATAATGCCACCGATATGTTAATAGCATGTACATTATTAAACTGGGACCATATTAGCTGCTACGAACATAAATTAAATTTAGTTGTACAGAATGCCTTAAATACAAATAAAGATACTTTGGAGAAAGTAACGGAAGCGGTGACTTTTTTCAAAAAGTTGTCATGCAAAAGAAATACTATTAAAATATCAATTTAACAACCAAAATACACAACAGCCTAAAGCCGTTGTTAAAGCAGTTCCCCACTAGATGGAATTCTACTTTTTTATTGTTTGCAAGTTTTCCCCCTCTAAGGGAAGCCCTTCAAAGCAACAATGAAAGTTTTGCTGCCTATAATCCTTAATGAAGAATGGGAATGCATTGAGCAAATGTGCTGGGTTTTAAAACCTCTTTATGAAGTAAGCAATGATATGAGCAGGGAAATTATTTAACCATGAGCACTGCCCTGGAGCTTACTTCAAGTTTGATTTCCATATGTGACAATCTATCTGGCAGAAATTTCACTTCAGTTCCCTGCGAACGTGTTTTTTCAAAAGCAGGGTACATAATTACTGATCGAAGGACATGACTAACCACAGCTAAAGTGAACAAATAATGTTTCTGAAAATTAATAAAATATAACTAATAATCATGTCTACATAGAATTATTACATACATGTCTACTTAATAAAAGAATAAAATAAAAAAATATAAATCATTTATATATATTAAGATTAAATACTAAATACCTAATAATCATTGTAAATAATAAACAATTTACTGTAAATTATAATATAAAATAAGCACCCATTATGTAGCCTCTACAGTGGCGAATGGAGTGGCGAATAAATTGGCCGAGAGTTGGTGACGGCGTCCACACGTTGGAAGATCGTTCAGTTTACTTCGGTTCGGGCCAATGTGCGGACGAATTTATAAGCACCGTGGTGCAGTGGCTCAGCAATGAGCGGCTGCGCCAGGCGCCGCGGGTTTGATCCCGCACGGAACAAGTATTTGTATGTCCTACAAATAATTGTTTCGGGTCTGGATGTGTGTCCTTGTGCAATTTATGTTTGTAAACTGCCTGCGCGATACGGGAGAAAATCCTAGCGTGGGGTTAACGTTTTTATAAAAGAATTATAAAATAATAGTGGATATTAATGGGGTTGTAAATAGATATACGATATACGATTAGCTATATTTATTCTTTACATGCATCATAAACTGGAATAAATACCATTAATAAAAACTTTACTTATTTTAAAGAAAGAACGATACTAATAAAATTGGGTTTTGATTTTAAAGTTTAGCAAAATATGTACTTGCATTTCTATCAGACATTTGATGTATATAAAAAAAACACCTTATAATTTATTTGGTAATTTAATTATTTTTTGAGAAAGACAAAAACAATAGCAATAAATATAATTAACACTGACTTAATAATAGGTACTAATTATAACTTAGAACATAAATGAAAAACTCATGACGAGCAAAGTGGCTCAGGACCATGCTTTGCGGCAGTCTGTGGAGGAGGATGTTCAGTAGTGGACTTGTGAAGAGCTGTAATGATGATGATGATTCGAAAACTTGCACGATTAAATTATAAGAAATCGACTCGATTTTATATAGGATAGGGTGACAAACGAGCACACAGTTCACCTGATGGTAAGTGGTTGCTGTGGCCCATAGATATCTACATCTATCCTCGATTACGAATCAAAATGCAAATGCGTTGTCACCCGTGAGGACTAAGATGAAATGCCTCGTTACCTTTAAAAAGTGTCTCTGGTTCTCTACACTCACTATACAAAACACAGCATCATTAAGCTACTATTTTACATTGATATTCTGTGAGAGCGTGGTCCTACCCCGGTCGAACCGACCCATTCGTGCTACAACTATACTTCTAATATGCATATTGCATATGCATATAACTGCATGGTTCTACCACGTATAAACTACGTGCTTCATTTTTTTTTCATTTTAAAATTGTTCTCGTAATAATCTGATTGTAAATAAATGTTCATTATTTTTTTTATAAATAGTTTATCGATTAAAACAAATGTTTAAAAACAATTAAATCGCGCTAATTAAAGTAGTAGGAATGTTTAAAATGGAAATTGGCACTAAAAGGCTGGTAATTGGGTCATCCACCCTACAAAGCGTGAATATAAAATTTTAATCAGATGCGTGTAATCACTCTGGGAGCTTGTAGCTAACTAAATTCGCGGCCAACGTGTGGACGCGGCGACCAAACTCTGCCAACAATCCTTTGATCTTTTGTAAAAAACCGACACCACACGGATCTCGCGCCAACTTGCGGGCCATCGTTCCAATACATACCAATGAAGCCCAAACACCCCGTCTACACGTTAGCCAATGCTATTGGCCACTACATTCGCCACTGTGTTGGCCAACGTGTAGAGGCGCCGTTACATTATCCAATTTGCAGAGCACTAGGTGAAATAGCGTGCTAAATTTGTATTGTGTAAAGGTAGTTAGCTAGTGATCCAATCTAGTGCGATCTAATGAACTCTGCCGCGCTAGCTCATATCGTACACTAGCTAGCGCACTAAATAGCATGGTGCAAAGCGTTCTAGCATGCTAAACACTAGCTATGCTAGGTCAGTTAGTCAGTCGACGTGCGCTCGAACAGGACGTATTTTTGGTATCAAAGTGACGTGACACAACCATCGACTAAGGAAGAGGAAGTGCTCTTAAATGGGAAATAATGAATTATACAAAACATGTCATTTCTTTGGATTAAAAAACAAAACATAACATAGTGCTTCTCGAAGTTTACAAAGGATTCACATTGTTCATATTTGACCACAAACTAATATGAGTACTAACGTAATATTTGACAGTTTTTGTCTCGGCAATAAATATTCTTTGACCCAACATTTTTTGTGTTTTTTTGTTTAAATTAATTGTCATTAAACTTGACACCATTGCTAAAGCAATGCCAACTTTCGGGTGTTTTCCTTAGTACCATATTCGTGTAGCGCTTTTTGTACGGTTTGAACGACGATCACTATTGAAATGAAAGGAAATCAAACCAACTAGCTTCGCTAGTTAGTCTAGTGTAATGTGTGAGTTCTTTTTATATTTTGCTGCAGCACTAAATCTAGCGCTCTGTAAATTGGATAATGTAATGGGCGCTTAATTCCAAAGATTCCTGTACCTAAAGTATGAAGAAATCTTAAAACCAATTAGAAATAGAAATTCACTACAAAAGTAAGTAATAATTTTAACTGTTAAAAAAATTAACAAAACTTTTAACAAATAAATTTAAATTTAGTGACAAAATTACTACTAATTTGAATTCTACACTTGTTTTTGGAGAAATTTATATGAAAATGTTTGGAAATATGTATATTTTTATGTTTTATATGTTTCCATTCGTTACTCATACCAAAATATTAAAATATTAAAAAATTTAAAAAAAAAACAATAATAATATTTTATCTGTGTGACATTTAGAACAATATTTCAAAAATAATTATGTGTGAATTTGAAATAAATACAACGTCAAGTTATTTGAAATATGTAAGAAAACTATTTTTACTTACATTTTACACTAAAAATAAATGAGAATTTGAAAAATAACACATTTATGACCCAACCGCCAAAATGGGTCTTCCAGATTTTGAAGTACTTTTGGCAATTTACTTTTCACTTTTTATACCACAAATTATATATCTATGTGTTCACTATATTACAAGAAATATAAAAAAGTATAATACTTTCGTTTTTAGTCCAGACACAAATATAAAATTCTATAAAAAAAGACGGAGCACCTTCATCAAAACGACACGTGGAACGCCGAAAGTTCAGTGATTTCTTTTTTTTTTTTCTAAGAAACATTGCCGGGTTATGGTTTAAAATAAAAGAGCATATCTTTGTCTTTGATACTATTATCTATTGCATATTGTCTTTGGTTTTGTTTTAAAGGAAAAAATAGTTTTTTCATAAGGCAGTACTACTGATCCGACCTGATCTAATTCGACCCGTACCAGAGCCGACGATATTGTATGATCTGATTAGATTGGTAGCCGAGTCAATGGGTTAAGTCATTACTTAATGTTAGAATTCTTAATTACAAAATCTCATTCTATAGTTGAGTAACACATGTTACTTACTTGAGCAAATGCCCAAGTAACACTCTACGCTTGGTGGTTGTTTCTGTGTTCATAAACAGTTCTTCAGTATTATGAACGGTGTTTTGACTTACTGTCAAAGGTTTCGAAATAACCAACAATTCTAAGGCATAAAATTCCGTATGTTAAAACTTACGAACCACGAATGTCGAACAAATATCGAAGTTAGATAACATCTAAACTTTTAAAGTAAGAAGGTTCATTTAGCAGAAATAACATAATCCCGAAAAAAGAGTTACATATATTCATGTAATCATCTGTCAGTCCTATAAAGGGAGATGAGTTGGAGATGTGAGATGGCATGAAAGGGTTGTAACCCGGGCTTCTTAGCCTAGCTAAGATCTATTTGCCTATTGTGGCAACTTCGGTACCCCGTGACCGCTTACTATGCGCCAGGTTGTCAAAATCGTTATTTTAAAATTCAACTCTAAAGAAATAAACGTAAAAGTAAAAACAATGTGTAATTAATTCTTGTTTTCTGTTAAAAATAATAATTATTCGATAAAATTAAATGTGTTAAAGTAAATAGTGTAAAACTTACAACATAAATATAATGTTTGATTATTAAACTTATTTGTTTAAATTGTGTTCAAATGATTTTTGAAAATGATTTTATTCAATATATATATATTTGAAAAAAAAAAATTTCCTATCTCCTCTAATATAATATTACCAACTATATTTTCTACAACAGTAAAAACCCGTTCCAATGCTATCTAAAGTTTTAATTTTTTATCCAAAATAACCTCAAAGTAGTGCTTAAGTAAAGGAAATGGTGACTTACTTGGCTGAGTATTCTAACTTTTGACAGTTCTAACTTGAAGCAATTACTTAACTATCGAATACAAATCGTTACTTAAGTGATTACTTTTACTTGTTTATAAATATGGGTGGTAGTGTGGCAGGATTGTGAGAAATAAGAAGTAAATAATCTCTGTGAAACCCTTTGGTTCACAGGAGTCAGTGTTTATATATTATGTTCATAATAATGACAACTGTAGAGTTAATATTGATACAAAAGAAATTTTAAGAACCGTATTTTGCAAAATATTGGAAATTATTTATTTAAGAAGAATAATTTTTTTAATTTTTATTTACAATTTTTTTATACAACATGTTATAAATACACAACCCGCTTTAACTGACCATTATTCTTCTGTACCTGCTCTACATAACCTCCTTATATGCAAGACAATGCCCAGAGACAGGTTTGCTGCCACATTATCACATTTACATTGTAATAATAATTCTCAATATTAACTAAGCAGAAAGTTTTAAGAGAGTTACCATGGAAACCGGGAATTGAGTGTGGACAAATCTATGATTAACCCCATGACTCTGACAGCGCGGCGACATGTTATACTCCCGTTCGTTCGGGACCTTAATGGCGGGAAAATTTGTAAGTTAGAAAATTTTTTTGCTATATTGCAAATTTTGCTATATTTTCACTTTGAGACAATATTTATGGATAAAACTTACAGGATTTCTTGTTGAATGTATCGAATAAAATTATTTTTGGTTGCTAGAAATTGTAATAAAATACATAAATTACCCTGTATAGCATAGCAGTAGTACATACTTCAATTTTAGTGACAAAATTACTACTAACTTGAATTCTACACTTTTGTTTTTGGAGAAATTTATATGAAAATGTTTGGAAATATGTATATTTTTATGTTTTATATGTTTCCATTCGTTACTCATACCAAAATATTAAAATATTAAAAAATTAAAAGAAAAACAATAATAATATTTTATCTGTGTGACATTTAGAACAATATTTCAAAAATAATTATGTGTGAATTTGAAATAAATACAACGTCAAGTTATTTGAAATATGTAAGAAAACTATTTTTACTTACATTTTACACTAAAAATAAATGAGAATTTGAAAAATAACACATTTATGACCCAACCGCCAAAATGGGTCTTCCAGATTTTGAAGTACTTTTGGCAATTTACTTTTCACTTTTTATACCACAAATTATATATCTACGTGTTCACTATATTACAAGGAATATAAAAAAGTATAATACTTTCGTTTTTAGTCCAGACACAAATATAAAATTCTATAAAAAAGACGGAGCACCTTCATCAAAGCGACACGTGGAATGCCGAAAGTTCAGAGTGATTTCTTTTTTTTTTTCTAAGAAACATTGCCAGGTTATGGTTTAAAATAAAAGAGCATATCTTTGTCTTTGATACTATTATCTATTGCATATTGTCTTTGGTTTTGTTTTAAAGGAAAAAATAGTTTTTTCATAAGGCAGTACTTCTGATCCGACCTGATCTAATTCGACCCGTACCAGAGCCAACGTAAGGTAGGTATTGTATGATCTGATTAGATTGGTAGCCGAGTCAATGGGTTAAATTTAATGTCAGGTCTGTACTAAAAAAATATCTACCCATGAAACCTAGAGGGTACAAGTTTGGCTGATCAAAGAGGCTTTACAAAGTTTATTATTTATCAAAGTTAGAACGAAGAAACGAGTATAAAATACTCTGATTATTCTTTACGAGAAATAGTACTGCAATTGACTGAACAGGAATGGGGTAGACAGTGATATATTTAAAAAAAATATTTTTATTGGAGCAATTGAAAACGGAAAGAAATTTTGGCTGAGGTACAATAAGACCCGATTATAAGGAACTTCCTAACAATGTAACAGCTGATAAAAGAACAATGTGAATACAGGTATTCAAACCTATTGGGTATGGGAAGAGGAATTTCAATCAATTTTTATGGCAATGAGGTTTCTGTTACACTTTGTGTTAACAGTAACCTCATTGCCATCATGTCAAAAAAAAGATGGATTCAAGACAACAGTCACCCCCACTTAAGTTATCAAGGATTACAACAAATTTAAGGGTGGAGTCAATCAGTTGCACAATAACTGAAAGATATCAATGGCAAAAAAAGGATATTTAGAGACAATGTTCCAAGCTCTGTTCTGTATAAAAGATGCAAAGCAGACTATACCACACAAAAAGATGTAAGATAGGGAAACAGATATAGACTAGCCTACATTTGCGATAATGCAGAGGGAGATGTGAAGTATGCAATATGAAGATAGTCTAAACTATACCTACACCAAACGATCCAGATCCTCCCATCTCATTGCAATGTCTTTTTAAGCCTAAATGATAAAAAAATTGTGTTAAAGATTATCATCAGGCATAGGTTTGATTTTAATAGTAATAATTATTATTTTTATTACAATTATTTAACTTAGTTCCTTCCTATGTGCTAGCAAAGTTTCTGGCGTTATAAATTAGTCTACGTTTTAGATTTAGTACTTACTTAACGTTCCAATAAAAAAAATATATTTCTATTCAAATCCGGTAGGAAAGAGTTAATTTACTTCTATAAATTTGCTATAAACTTAAAACGGCGGTGAATTTGCATCCCAAGCCGGTGATTTAAGATGGCGTCATACATTTTATTGACGTTATCTTTAGAATTATGGAACAAGATACAGAAACAATTACTTATATCAAAAATAATAATGGTAAAATACTTACACGTTGCTAACGTTAAGTCTGTTTAAAGACAGGTACAAGGAATTTATGATTATAGTAAATTAATAAGCAGAGCAACTACACTTTCCATTCCACCACACCAATTCTCCATTACAGACCAAAGACAAAGAGCAAAGAGCACGTCATCGTCATTACTACATAATTATTTATCTATGGTCACTACGTCACTACCGCTATGATACAACCGTTAACCGCTATGATTATAGTGCTTTGTTTTATAAAGATTTTTGGCTCGGATGTTTGTCTTTTAAGCCACGGCTTCATTTCATTTAGGACCTACGTTTTCAAAGATTTTCTATTTTAGATTTAATTTATTTGTTAAAAGGCAGAAAACACTTCATATTCTTCAAAAACGCAGTCAAACGATGGTGGTAATTATTTGCGATGCGTTCACTTTTACTGCTACTGCCACCAAAGACGGCCCTAGCAAAATTTTTAGGTGGTGCGAGATCTCATAGTGGCGGCCCTATAAATACAAAACCTTAGTGTTCCTATACTATGTAGTTGCTTTTCCGTGATTTTAAGTAGTATTAGACTTATCAAATAACTATAGGTGTATATGCGGGCCAACCACAGTTGTGTCTTGTGCCTGTCGCTCTTGCCAAAGCAGTTGTTCTGCTAATTTGCGTTAAAGAGATATTGCTTTTTTGCAATATGTGTGTGCATTTTAAACAAATTCAACAATTACGTATAAAGTGAAAATATAGTATAGTATAATTAATGTTAATTTAGATTTTATTTTATCCATACTTGTATTTTAATATTATAAATGTGAAAGTGTGTTTGTTTGTTTGTTTGTTTGTCCTTCTTTCACGTCGCAATAGAGCATCGGCATGGCATGATTTTTTGTATGGGGATAGTTCGGTGGCTGTAGAGTGACATAGCTTACTTTTTTCTGCGGAAAAACATCTCATTCCCGTGGGAAAATAGAATATGTTGCAAAAGTTTGTCCTTCTTTCACGTCGCAACAGAGCGTCGGCATGGCTTGATTTTTTGTATGGGGATAGTTCGGTGGCTGTAGAGTGATATAGACTACGTTTTTCAGCGAAAAAACATCATTCATCATTATCATTCCCGTGGGAAAATCGAATATGTTGCAAAATTAAATTCAGCTAAGTGGCGCCACCGTGATTCTACAAGACGGACGACGGTACGATGGAAGAACACAGAAGGTCAGAATATCTGGATTATTATGTCTTTTTACCAAAATTAAGATAAAAAATGTATGGATCTGTATTTTTCCACGCAGGACCGGGAAGAGAGCGATAAAAAACATAAAATTCACCAGCTGATTTTCTTCAAACGTTTTGGTGCATTGTAATTCACAGAATAGGCAATAACCTCGCAGACGATATTAAGTAATCCGTTGATGCTCTGCCTACCCCGCAAGGGTTACAGGCGTGATTATAAGTATGGATCAGAAATACTATCACCACCTGTCACGCTTTTACCCTTAACTATTACTTAACTGTGGTAGAAACAGTTCTTAGTAAGCCTTATTAATAAGCCTTAGTAATATTTATTGAAAGGAAATGAATACAGTTCTTATATTGGTTATGAATGTATCGTTATTAGAAAAATTGTGCAAAGTTATAAGAAAAATATTTTTTGAGAGTTCTTATTAACTAACGTATACATAGTTTAAATTGATTCCGCTAGATGTCGTTACTAGGTTTTTAAAACGCGGTAACGAAATTTTTCCTGACATGTACTTAACTCCCGCCGTTGAGCCGCGCGTCAACTTATAGTACATACGGTACCTATACGCTTAAATTGTTTCTATTTCGTAGCTTATTCGACTACCTGCTTTCGATTTCGGTTGTTTGTTATTTGCTTTGTAATTTGGTTAAGGTTGAATGGATTTATATTGGCTTTCATTTTCAGATTTGTGTATTTTCTTGGATCGGTTTTGTTGATTTGGTTGGTATTCCTTTATACATATTTAGACTCTGGCTTTGATTTTGGATTTTGTTTATTTAGAATCGTGAATTGGTTTTCGTTGTATTAGGTTGTTTAACAATATTACAAAGGAATATTAATAGTATAGATAGTGTATACGGTACCTATACACTTACTTCTTTTTTCGTTGTTTATATTTATATTGACTACTGCTTTCAATTTCGGTTTTCTGCGATTTGTTTTGTGATTTGGTTTAAGTTGATTCGATTTTTTTGGCTATCGCTTTCGGATTCATGTTGTATCTTGAATTGGTTTTGTTGTTTTGATTTTAAAAAATATCTAAAAGGAATATTTATTCCTTTTAGATATTTTGGATTTGTTTTAAAAAATATTTAAAAGGAATTTTAATTCCTTTTAGGTATTTTAACGTTTTTTTTATAAATAGGTTTTTTGTTACTTCATAATGCTTCGCAAACGTAAGTCCGGCCTTTCAAGAGTATCTTCTCAAAGAAAAGCGAAAAGATTAGCTCGATCGCTAGAATCTTTAGAAGATGCTGAACTGAAAAGGCAAGAACAAGCAGAGCGTCAGGCTGCTTTTAGAGCATCTGAGACACCTTCTCAACGTCAGGAAAGGCATCTTGAACAGGCAGAGCGTCAAGCTACTTTAAGAGCTTCTGAAACACCTTCTCAAAGTCAGCGAAAGAGTATTGAACAGGCAGAGCGTCAAGCTTCTTTAAGAGCTACTGAAACACCTGCTCAAAGTCAGCAAAGGCGTCTTGAACAGACAGAGCGACAGGCTGCTTTAAGAGCTTCCGAAACACCTTCTCAAAGTCAGGAAAAGCGTCTTGCCCAGGCAGAGCGTCAAGCTACTTTAAGAGCTTCTGAAACACCTTCTCAAAGTCAGCGAAGGCGTCTTGAACAGACAGAGCGTCAAGCTACTTTAAGAGCTACTGAAACACCTGCTCAAAGTCAGCAAAGGCGTCTTGAACAGGCAGAGCGTCAAGCTACTTTATGAGCTACTGAAACACCTGATCAAAGTAAGCAAAGGCGTATTGAACAGGCAGAGCGTCAATCTACTTTAAGAGCTACTGAAACACCTGCTCAAAGTCAGCAAAGGCTATTCGAACAAGCGGAACGTCAGGCCGCCTTAAGAGCCGCGGCAACACCTGATGAAACTCAACACAGACTCATTGAGCAAGCTGAACGTCAATCTACTATAAGGGCATCTGAAACACCAGAACAGACACAGGCGCGAAGAGATGCAAATGCACAGCTCCAAGTTAAAATTTTCAAAGAAACAATTGGTCGGTTTTTAATGACGCAGCATTCAATTATGATCCGTTGATTGATTATAAAAATCACAGGTTAGTTGTTATCGGACTGATGGACAAGGCGTGTTGATTTTGCAGCGCTTTAAAATGGAAAGATGAGACCGCAGGCATGTGCTGTTCCAATGGCAAAGTGTCTCTTCCGTTACTTGGGGAACCAGAAGAACCTCAAAATTGAAAGATTCTTGCATGAACGTAACATTTTAGTCAAAACATTTAAAACTGCTTTAGAAAACCTACCTGAAGAGGATTATAAGCGTCGAAAGTACCCGATGACCAATACCCGATTATTGCAAAGCACAATAGGGTTATCATTTTCAAATTCTACTCATTAACCTCAAGGAGCCTACTCCGAACAAAAAAGTATCATGTATGGATTTTTATGCGTATCATATGATGTTGCGAGAAAATTATTTTAACCTCTTAGCCCGGTGTAGACAATTATTTCATCAATTTTTGGTAGACATGTATGTGAAGGTAGAAATTGAACGTCTCCGTTATATATCTTTAAATCAAAAAAAGCCGCGCGTTGAGAATTATATACATTTACAAGATGCAGTTTCTAGCGACGCCAATGTAAACCCCAGAGATTTAGGTAAAATGGTAATTCTGCCCTCATCATTCATTAACAGTCCCTGCTACCTACATGAGTACACACAAGAAGCGTTCGCCTATGTACGAACTTAGGGAAGACCTGATCTTTTTGTTACTTTTACTTGCAATCCCACATGGAAAGAAATAACCGAGGAGCTAAAGCCGGGCCAAAAAAGTACTGACAGACACGATTTAGTTGCTAGAGTATTTAGATTAAAAGTACAAAAATTAATGTATGTAATTAACAAAGGGAAAATTTTCGGAGAGGTGCAGTGCTTCATGTATTCAATTGAAAGGCAAAAAAGAGGATTACCGCATGCCCACATTCTAATATGGCTTAAAGAGAAGTTGCGGCCCAGCCAAATAGACGACATAATAAGCGCCGAGATTCCGGATCCTGAGCAAGATAAAGATTTGTATGATACCATCTTCCGAAATATGATTCACGGTCCATGTGGAGTACGAAATTCAATATCGCCATGTATGAAAGAAGGAAAATGTACAAAAAAATTCCCTAAACAGCTATTAAAAGAAATAGTGCACAATGACAATGGCTACCCTTTATACAGACGCAGAGCTCCCGAAGATGGTGGCAGGAAAGTTACAATCAAATCTCTGGAGCGCTCGAAACCTTAGATAACAGCTGGATTGTCCCGTATTCGTCCATTCTATGTAAAATGTTTAATGCCCACATTAATGTAGAAGCATGTAGCTCTGTCCGCGCAATCAAGTATATCTGTAAGTACATAAATAAAGGAAGCGACCAAGCAATATTTAATCTCAGGAGTGAAGGTGAGGCAAATGCCGTTAATGAAGTACAGACCTTTCAAGCAGGGCGTTATATCAGCAGTAACGAGGCAGCGTGGCGTCTCCTTGGCTTCCCTTTACACGAAAGGCACCCAACAGTTACTCACCTTGCTGTGCACTTAGAAAATGGAGAGCGTGTATATTTCACCGAAAGAAATTTCCAAGAAAGAATTGCATCACCATCAAAAACTACACTAACAGCCTTCTTTCAACTTTGTCAAACCGACCCCTTTGCAAAAACGTTGTTATATTCTGAAGTCCCCCGCTATTATACTTGTAACACACTAGCAAGGAGTGGAAACGCCGTATTCAAGGCGCGCCTGTTGCAAATTAGCCCGGTGTAAAGTCATCAGATCCCTTTCGGATCGTCCATGTAACTAATTTTGAATGTTTCTGTTTACGATTGCTGCTGCACCATGTTCGGGGTCCTACAGGATATAAAGACCTTAAAACTGTCAACGGTCAGGAATGCGCAACTTATAGAGAAGCATGTGAAGCTCTGCA